TAATAGGACATCTGTATATATGTGTAAATGAAAGATGAAGTAGCACCTGATGCTTTTTGTTTCTGTACGGGCTGCCATTGTTGTAATGCTGTTTTTATATGTTGCATTTGCCGGGAAGTTTCGAATTGTAAAAGACGAAGAAGTGAACTTTGTGAGGATGGATGTGTCCAGACCATACTTTAAGAATTGAGGACAATAGTATCTAAACTATTGAAGGAAGTCGAATTTTAGAAAAGAAAGATACAGATGAATTAAGCAAAGTATGTGAATTGGTTCTAGAATGGAAAAGTAATTTGAAAGAATTAGACGAGGCAATTCATTATATAATTCAGATAGATTCTGTAGAAGCTGTTGTAGTTACTTCTGAGGAATATCAGGAAAACTGTTCTCAAGCGATTAAATGAATTAATCAAGTATTAGAAAGGATAAAATAAGTATTAATGATCCTTAGCAAAACTTGGTTAGACTGCAAAATGTACAGAGTACTATAAAACTTCCAAAACTAGTGTTAGAATAGTGCTTAAATGATCCTAAAAAATTCACAGAGTTTTGGAACAGCTATGAAAGCTTGTTTCGAATGAAAGACAAAAACAAAAGTCTTAGATAGAAAAATTCATGTATCTGAAAACATTACTCGTAGGTGCCGCAAGTAATGATGTACCTTCATTAGAATTAAACGAAAAGAATTATGATGAGAATATAAAAACTTTGAAGGAGACATTTGGAAAAAAAGAAATAATAATTAGTCAGTTTATGAATAAGCAGTTAAATCTAGAATAAAGAATTCAGATAATGTTAAAGCTTTATGTAGGTTGTATGACGATATCGAAATTGCTGTTTGGAATTTGAAAGCAGAAGGTTTTATGAAAGGTTTATTTAGTCAGTACGTTATTATTATACCTGTGTTGTTAAAACTATTCCAGAAGAGTTTGTCTGGAATTTCATCAAAGAAAGAGGAGGGGGGAAACAAAGAAATCAATGGATCAGACTCACTGGACTTCATAAAACAAGAAACTGAATTCTGTGAAGCTGAGTTCTGAATTCTTTACTGATGCAAGAGAAAAGAAATGCCTTGCCTCCACGTTTTGTACATGCTAAGTCTGATTATGAAAAAAATTCATAGGAATGTACCTACACCTGCCAGTTTTTTAATGTTGTTCATAATCGCGCATGCTTCTTCTGCGAAAAATCCCATAACTCATTTAAAAGCATTAAAGAAAAAAGGAATAAGTTACGGAACAAAAGTAGATGCTTTATTTGTTTTAAAAAAATATCATATTTGGAAATCATGTAGAAATAATGCTTAAAATGCGGGTTTAAATCTCATCATGAGTCACTATGTATGAGTAATTCAAATCGTAACAAAACACATACATAAAGGAATTATGCAAAAACTCATTCCATAGATGAAATACGAAACTCCCTGAAAGAACACGCTTTCTGTTGTTCTGTGTAATAATTCATATAAGAAAAATGCTTTGTTGCAAGCATGTTCAGTATTAGTTCATTATGACAGTAGGTCTGAGTTGATTAGTTTAATTTTTGATTACATGCTACATGAAGTTTTGTTCATATTAGTCTAGTTAAGAAATAAAAATTTATTGCAGGTATCCAAATTTATAATAACATAGTTAAAAATTTCCTGCTTCTTAAAACTTATCAGAATTCTCCATGAGCTTATCAAAATTCAAGATCTATATAATCATCAAGACTTTGGCAATTCTGGATTTCAGAAACTTCTGGATTTTACATTATCAGTTTAAATCTAGTAAGATGACATGTAGACATGGCAACATTGGGGCTTCACTTATTGTTTAGGTCAGATAGAAAAATGCTAACCTCTCATTACCACTCGAGGGCTGAAAATATGATTCTGACCGGCATCAGTACATCAATCAATATATTATCATTGGGCATGGTACCTCTCCCTTATGAGCAAGTGTTTGAAAATGACATGTAGGAACTGTAGTTACTCGCATTTGCAGCACAGCTGTTTCCTTTTGTTGAGTATTGTACTCGCTGTTTCCAGATTTTGTAAGCAAAGAGAGGGTGTCCTTTTTTCCCCCCTATTATTTTTCTCCCATTTAATGGTATGGATATTAGGTTATTCCGTCTAATGGACATCCAGATTTCAGATTCTGTACTTTAGTATAATAACCTGTAACCATCAGTACATCAAAAATACCATCCTGAACTTTAGATTTGAAAGCCTTAGAAGCAATTCTAATTTCAATCATTTCTTATCTTTTTTTTTTTTTTTTTTTAAACTGGCTGAAGGAGGGCAGAGGGCTTCCTTTTTATTTAAATGCCAGTTTCATATCTTGTAACAAGTGCATTTCTAAATCACCTTATTTTCTGTCTTTGGTAATATTTTTCTTACAAAAAGTTCTGGGGGCAACATTTGTTTTTCTCATAGCATTTTTACTGCATTTTGCAATGTATGTTTATTAGATTTTCCATAAAATAAAACAAATGTTGTCTGTTATTTCCGTGCTTATATTAATTAGCCCCCAAATTGCTAGTATTCCAATAATGCAGTGAAACTGTTTATGGCGGAGGATGTGTTATAGAAGTATAATGTCTGCTAAAGACAGCCACTGAATGGAGTGTTAGAATAAGAACTGAGAATTAGTTCAAGAAGTGCTTATTTTTTTTCGAAAAATGCTTATCGAAACAGAGACAATAGCATTCCAAAATGATTTTGAATGAAATTTCCTAAATAATGAAATGGAAATAAAAAAATGAACTGTTTCTTTATCAGCTGACATAAAAAAATAGCACCAATAGAGTGCTGGCTTTTTTTTTAATCATTGGGTACCAGATAATACACAAGTAACATTAATTTTATTGTGCTAGACTACTCTTTGATATTTTACAATGATCCTAATGATGTTGATGAACAGATTTGAACTTTGATGAACTTAACTTTAATTTAATGATTTCAGATTTAAACTTTAATGAACTTCAGGTGATTTTAATTAAGTTTACTCTCCTGAATATGAAAAGAGATAAAAAAAGTGTATAACACTTGATTTTTTTGTACAACAGGAATAAGGTAAATTTTTGCAAATTAATTTATTTTTACAGGTAACTCTTAATTTATAAGCTTCATTTAATATACTGAATAACAGATGGAAGTGTTTATTTAAAATTGCAAATAATAACAAAATTAATTATATGAAGTACATGTGCTAACATAATTCAATCAGATAAGATTGAATTCATTTTGGCAGATAATATGAGAAATATTTTTAACGTACATAGTTAATACTTTCTGTTATGGGAGTTGCCACTTTCTGTAACTGGAAACTAATATTTTTAACTTACGTAGTTAATACTTTCTGCTATGAAAGTTGTCACATTTTTTAACTTGAAACTAGTAACAGCTGCCCATCATACTAGAGTCCCACTTTGATATCTCTACTCCTTTTTCTGGAAGAGTGCTCTTTCTTCATTGCTTGTAACTTTTAATTTCTCAAGAGGAATGTCTAGGTGGAAATGTCGAAAGTGAATTTTTATAGACCTTCTGCATCCTAGTTTGTGGTAAAATGCCCATCCATTCTTGAAGCAGTTTCTTCTTTTTTATGTGTATTGTTATTTTCCAAATATCCATGCCCCACTCTACCAGACTTCCCAGGCTGCTAGCTCAACATCCTGAAATTTCGTACGGAAGGTTTTTTCTCTTCTGAGAGTGTTAAAATTTTGGGGCTGGCAAATATTCCCACTTTCACTTCTGTTTTGAAATCTTTGGTAACTGAACTCTGAGGTCTGCCAAATCTTTATTCTTTCTTATTCATGGCCATAGAAGTTTTTTTTTTTTAAATTAGGCCTCATTTTTTGCTGGTTTTAATATGCTTTTGGAATGTATCTAACATTATGTTGTTGTACTGACTATAAATGATTTTTTAATCTGTATTTAATTTGCATATTCAATAATAAATTTTTATTGCATTGTGTTATAACTTATTCACAGTGGGATGACTCACAATTCAGTTAGCCCACCAGCGGCCTAGCGGTAAAGTCGCTGAACACTGGTAGTTCGGTCCGAGGTTCGAATCCCGCGAACAGGCTGGCTGCATGGGCGTTTTCGTGGTTTTCCCCATGTGTATGTAACGTGTATACGAGCCAGTTTCCCTTAGAAAGTCCTCCACGAAAGGCATCCCTCCCCCTTAGGCAGATAGCCCTCGTGTGCTTTGCCATAATTAAATACACCATTAAATACACCAACACAATTCAGTTAAGAGTGAAAGATATATAGGAATTTCAAAACTGTGGAAGAGAAACTTGTGTTTGATCCATTTCTTGTAATGTATTTATGTCTAAAAATACTTTTCTTTATAAAAATATTGTGATGTTTATGTGTTTTTACATTTTAAAGAGCTGTATTTCTAACTAAGCTATCTTTTAAAAAAATTTTTTTCCCCCTTATATGATGCATCTTTTGTTCTGACCAGTCTCCTTGATGTCTACAAAACTTTCCACATTTTTTCATGACAAAATATAATAGTTTTTTTTTTTAAATGGTATGCAGAATTTATTGGGCACATTGTTTCTATAGGAATGGAAGACCAGAATCTTGAAGAGATTTTTGTTTAGTAATTTCATGAATTTCTCTGTATTTTGACTACACTATATACTTTGTAGTTGGATGATTTACAGGTCAATTGAAAGCACATTTCATATCAAATAAAACAAGATATAGTTCATTACTATGCAGTGATTCTTGGTGTAGGGAGATTATGTAAGGAGATTTAATTATTACTACCAGTACTTTGTTTCAGAGAGGATTTAATTACATACTGTAAAACTGAGAGTGATTGAGCATTTTTGTATATTCATTAATAAGTGATACATATTAATATGATGCTTATATATTTTCACCTTTGTGGCAAAAATATTTACTTATTTTACTATATTATTAATTTTTTTAATATATTTGTTAATTGAAGGGAATAAAATAGCAGATCATAAAAAACCTTTCTTTTTTAAATTTTATCTAGTTAACTGAAAGCTTCCGAGGTCTAAAACTTCAAGGGCATGTTGGCTTTGATAGTCTTCCAGACCAGCTTGTTAAAAGATCTGTTTCAGAGGGCTTTGCTTTTAATATTTTGTGCATTGGTGAGTTTTTTTTTTAATATATAATTATTTGAGATTTTTATTATCTAAAGTCTGTGATGTGTACAGAAACGTAGCTCATGCATGCTATACAGAGGTTAAAAAACTTAAAATAAAGCAGCATTGTTGTACAATTGGTAGGACAGAAATAATTACTCAAAAAGATGCTTTTTCAACATTGCAGCCTAAAAATTTAATTTGCTCAAAATTTTATCAGTTGATAAGGATTTTATTCAAGTAGTCTCTCGTGTTCATTTTACTCACAATCGTATGGGGAAAATTATATGATGTATAATTTATTCTGAAGGATAAGATTAAATCAAAAACAATAAAAAGTGTATGTATGAATAAACTATACTAATATTGTGTCATGTATGTCAATGAACCAAGTTACAGTTGTGGTCTTCAGTGCTGTTATCTCTAAATTGTATATAACAGTCCATCCTTTTGAATATGTTTAGAAAGTAAGTTCTTTATAAGACTAAATATCAGTGAAATGGAGAAGTTCTTATTACCAGTAAAAGCCTAAAACAATAAAATCTTAAAAGGATGTAAAGATGCCAAAACCCAAGCTCCCTTGCATGAACTGTTTAAAAGACTTGAACCCCTGACAACCAGAGCTTCTAATAGCTCTGTATTAAATGTGTTAGCTGGTAAAGACTTACATTCTTTTCATGTTATTAGTATTCTTTTCGTGTTAACTGAGCATTATTGACTCAGTCTTCATTGTTACATCACAAACCTCATCTACTCTTATTTTAAGGATAGCTACTTCGTTATCTGTGTTAGTGAAACACTTTCCACTCACAAATCTGTACAGGCTGGTGTTCCATAGGGGGTCTCTCCTTAGCTCCATTTTATTTAATATCTACATGAAGGACATCTCACGTAACCACACACTACCCTTGCAGTGCATGCAGATGAGACCTCACATGAAGGACATCTCACATAACCACACACTACCCTTGCAGTGTATGCAGATGAGACCTCCATTTTTTATCCTATCCAGGAATTAGGGCTTTCCAAAAACTTATTCAATATGAATTTGTTTGGTGAGGGATATTAAAAGACATTTTGAACTGGTCATGGTCCTGCATAGACTGTAAAAAATTGAAAAATCATTGACATACTCATAGCTCTTTAAAATCGTTTCCTGTTGTTTCTCAAAGATTCGAGCATGTTCACCTTGACATTATGGGAGCCTTGCCTCCATCTATGGGATATACAGACCTTGTCACCTTTAAAGCTCATTTTTCTCATTGGCTTGAAGCAATACCTGAGCAGGATGTTAAGGATGAAACATTTACTTGTGTATTTGTTACCCATTTGATCACAAGATTTATAGTCTCCAAAATTATAATTACAGACCAAAGATGACAATTCGAGTATCTTTTAATTTCTTCACCCAGCAAGATCAAGAATTGGCCACATTTAAATTTCCCCATATCACCCATTTAATTGACTGGATGAGTGATTTCACTGGACCCCTAAGCATAAGCAAACCTTAAAGTTTCATCATAACACATATTCGGCAGGAACTTTACCTATTGCCCTTCATGACCCCTGGTCAGATTTCAAAGAAGATTATGGTGGTACTTGTTCTGAAATGCTCTACAGAATAACTTTGTCCTTACCAGGAGAATTCTTATAGTCCTCTAACCACCTGCTGCAGATAGATCCCGCAGTTATCATTCAGCATCTGTGCAACACTTTACAGGAATTTTCTTCAGCATTTACTTCTGCTCGTATTAAATCTTTCTGTCTAGTGCACCCATCCTTATACACTTGCTGTGATGTTTTGTGCACTACGACATCGTTGTGCATCGACAGTGTTATTGATACAACTATGCAATGGACCTCAATCAAATGGGCTGGTAAACACTTCATCATTCTGATAATTGTAAAAGAATGTTACTGTGGCTCAGGTGAAGGCAGTTTGCTGTTATTAGGAACTCAGTTGATGCCACTAACCCAGTATAGCAATGTCAAATTATTTTTTTTTATCACGTGTGAGTTTCTAAGACTTTACTAAAGGTGTGACTGGAGGATCCAAATGAGATAAGTAATATTTATGATGTAGCATTTCAGGATCAAGATATGGTTGGGTGACTATCATAACTTCTTCAGATGAGATGAAGATTGGCAAGTGCCAACAGAAAGAGATGCATCGCCAGGCAAGCTGCTACTAGTTAGATCTAGCGAGAGAGAAACTTCGAGCGATAGGAAGTAACTGCAGAGTGCGAGCATTGTTTTGTCAAGTAGAGTTAAAAAAAAAAAATAGTTCAAGAAATGCAGTTCACAAATACAAAGCAGAAATATAATACAGTAAACATACATGTAGACATAAGACGGGCATAAAATATGTTAAAAAATAAGAATATCGATTACTCCTTTTCTATTTATAATTTTCAATATATATATATTTTATACAAGTGAGGAAAATACAACATACACACAGTGCATCAATATATCAGGAAGGTAAGGGGGCATTAATTCAGGTATCTAAGGACTGCAAGTGGTCTTTTCTGATTAACATAGCTATTGTAATCATACTTTAGCGCAGGAATTGTCCCATTTTGCACATAGGTTATTTTCTGGAAAATAGACTCAGCTAGCTTAGTGAATTTCCAGTATTTTAAGTTCACAGTGAATTACCGAGTTCCTGATGAACCATCTAGAACCCATGTAAGTTTTTTCCCTTGGAACTAGGATAAGATCTCTGATTCACTAAATAAGCATTTTTGTAAGTCAAACTTTGAATCACAAGGGAACATTTGAATTTCTGAAGTTCAAAAAGATGATTTAAAACTTTGCCTCTATGTAACCAACAACCTTACTTCAGAATATAACAAAAGCGTTTCATGTTCACTGTTTATCTCTTGGCATAAAATCGTTGATATTCTTGAATTTAAAGCTAGGCTTTTAATAAAATTAATGATTTTTGCAGCTTGATTAAAAACGATTTTCAAGTTTTTGGGGGTTGTTTTGGCTACTAAAGCTTCACAATGAATGGAGCAGTGAGTAAATTTAGTTTCAGGTGAGACTTTCTTTATTTGAAAAATAACTGGAATGTTTTCCTGTTAATGCCCGAGCTTCGAGCAATGCACTTATTCCAAGGAATATCATTCTCAGACATAAAATTGTCAATTACTTTGAAAATTTCATTTGCAGTTTCATGAAGAGATTCAGAAAATAAATATCCATTGGCAATTTGTTTATTTTTTACAAAACTTATGTGAACTGATAATTGAACAAAGTTTGTTATATTAGTATTTTCATCCAATTGCCATGCAAAATACTCAATGTATTTTATTTTTTGAATAAGTGTCTCTTTTTATGGAATTAGGCATTTCTTGATTCATTTGATAATGGAATATTATTGAGTTCATTAGCTGCTTGTGTTGTTATTAATACCCTTGGGGCAGGAAAGCCTACACAAAGTCCAAGAGACCTTTCCGCACAAGGGAATCGCTGACATACTCTTTCTCAGCCAACAGCTGTCTCAGGGAGATGCCTATACAATCTCGTAGATGAGCGGGAGAGGTAGGGAGGGAACAGACACATGAGGGAAAGGTCTTCCCCCCCCATTGAATTTCACACATCGAAGATGCCCACTTCTGAATCTGGCCATGGCTGTTTGGAGAGATCTAGTTCTTTTACTCTGTAGTGACAGGCCAGGCTGCTCAGCTATATACCAATGGTGAGCAGGAGAAATTTTCCACGCCATGTTCGTCTTATTTTTGTTGTGAAAATGTTTTTCAGATGGACTTATATCAGTAGAAGTGGGGGTAGGGAGATCACATCCTTTCCATGCAAGATCATCAGCTATTTCATTACCATACGCCCCAACATGGGACGGTATCCACTGGAGATATACAGTCAAAAGTCGTTAATCCGGACTCGTCAGGACTTCGGCGATTCCGGATTATAGATCATCAGTTTAAATCGCGTAAGATGGCATGCAGAAATTCTAAAATTAAAAATATGAAAAACCGTAATTTATGAAATAAAGAACAATTATGATCTAAAGGGTATCAAAATTTACAAAAAAAAAAAAAAAAGCTTAATATTTATTTGTTTACTTTATTAAAACATTTCTTTCAATGTAAGTTGTTTAAGTTGCTTCGTTTTATGTGATAATACTTTCTCTTTAATTCTATAAACAGACATAATTTTTGTGTTCAGTTACAAAGTTCCGCTGTTCAAGTCCCGTATAATTGCTGTGCCGAGAATACCGACTAACTTGTCAATCGAAATTTTTTCGTTTTCACTAACCTCTCTGTCACATTCTTCATGTCTTTATCCATTTTTTGCAGCAATTCCACTTTTTGTTTGATGAACATCGAAACTACTTTCGTTTTGTACGATCCTTTGGGAGCTCCAGAATCAAAAATTCTATTTGACATAATCGAAAGTTCAAGTTTACTTTTTTAGTATTGCTCTTACAGTCTGCAAAAAATAATAAGCCGGATCCAATTCGAAAATTAAGGAACAACGCAATCATCAACATTAACTGAAGTAGATAATTATGTAATTTTAGCTTACACCGTTCGTTATACATAAAACGCGCACATGAAAACGTATTCTGCGCTTGCGCACACGTAAATGCGCAGTTGTAAGAGGTCTTACGCGCACGCGTAAACGCCTATGCGCATGTGTCAACGCGGAGCATGCGCAGAAAGTTTTTAGCTTTGAGGTCCGGATTATAGATCATTCCGAATTATAAGTGTCTGAATTAACGACTTTTGACTGTATTGATTTATGCTGTCCAAGCTCAAAAAGTGTAGATAATATTCTGAATAGTCTTATCCATGATCTTAGGTCAGTTTTTAAGATACTGAAGGGAGCTTCTACTATCTGTCAGAATCCATGTAATGTCACTAGTCAAACAGAGAGCATAATCAAGTGCTTTGCTGATGGCGATAAGTTCCAATCTGAAGATGGAGCAATGATCAGAGTTTCTGATGCTGCATATGAAATGTTCTTCAGGGGTGTTACTACAAATACCACTCCCTGCTCTATCCTTATCTAATATACTTCCATCTGTATATATCACAAAGGCCTGGCCAGTAATACCATGTATGATTTCCAGAGCAATATGCCTGAGGAGTTCCGGGTGATGGTTGCCCATGACATACGTGTTTGCATGATTAAATGAAGTATCTGGAACATAATGGCTAAAAAAAATGTTTCTTCATTAAAATTGATAAAATTTGAATTCCATACATAACTTAGTGGGCTGCCTTACTTTAGGCATTTATTGTTTGTCCAATTTAAAATAAAGGCTGCTGTCCAATTAAATCATAAAAAACATCTCATCCCTTAATTTTGCCGCTCAGTGCTTCTCTAAATTCCAAAAATTTCGTCTTCCCTAAATTCTGCCGTCCGGTGCCGACATATTCTGCCGCTGCTTCTGGATTTATGGTGAATAGTATATCAGTTGTTAATTAAAATAGCTCTAAATGTAATCTTTTTGCCTATGAGTTTCATTAACAAAATCTATTTTTAGCATATGAAAAGAAATTTTTTGTTGAGTTTTTCTTCGTCAACATTTCTTAGAGCATTTAAAAATCTATAATCATTGCCAAACGTAATGTTAGCATAAAAAGGTTGCCATAATCTTATTATTCAATTTCTTATGTAAAAAAAGTTTACACATCGTTGCATGAGTTATTACTGAAGCTGTCATGTATTGATAAACATGCGATGAGGAAAGCAAAATATAATAAATAAATGACTCGCTAGGTTGGCGTCAGGGATGCAAAATAGGTGAGTGTTTGGGTTTGAGATGTATGCCAAGCAGATACTCAGCTACGAAGCCAAATTATTAATCTCATAAATTTATGCTTACATCACTGTTTTTCCATAACGAGGTATTTTATTTAGTGCGTAAGTGAAATTAAGAAACGGAATTTTTAAGTGAAAATCACTACATATTTTATTATGGAAGGAAAAATCAAATGCACATGCGTAAAGCATACAAAAAAAAAATGTTTGTGACTTTGAGGTCCAGATTTTAGATCATTCCAGATAATGGACGTCTTGATTTCGGACTTTGTACTGTACATGATTGAGAATGTTTCTCTTGAACTGAGTAGGTAAATGTTATTAAATTGGGTCAGAAATAAAGAAAAAAATGCATTTACAGTCGCTAATATCTAATACAGTACAAAGTCCGTAATCCAGACGTCCATTATCGGGAATGATCTATAATCCGGACCTCAAAGCCACAAACTTTGTGCATGCGCGTAAAGAATGCATATACATTGCGCATGCACGTAATGTATGCTTTACGCATGCGCATGTTGAAAGAAATGTTTAATAAAGTAAACAAATAAATATTAAGCTCCCTCCTTTTTTTTGTAAAATTTGATAGTTTTAGATCATAATTGCTCTTTATTTCATAAATTGTGGTTTCATATTTTTAATTGTACAATTTCTGCATGCCATCTTACCAGATTTAAATTGATGATCTTTAATCCGGAAAACCCCTAATCCGGAATCGTCGAAATCCCGACGAGTCTGGATTACAGACTTTGTACTGTAGTAATATTGTAGATATGTTTTCTTGTTTATTTGTTCCATCTCCAGGTTGGGTTTTGACTGGATTCCTCACCTCATGCCTAATATTGAGGAAGTTCAGCTGGAACCCATTCTGCGTAGTGACTTTTATTAGCCAAAAACTCTAATAAACTTTATTACCATACTGCTAAGTTAGTATACAAAATCAGTCTGTATTATAAATATTTAGACCTGAAACTAAATTGAAAGACTATTGACAATAGCTTATGTGTTTTTCATAATGCTAAATGCAAATTTCTTTCATCCCCTTACAAAATAGTAGACGTTGTTCCAGATAAAGTGAATATGGAAACAGAATAATGGAATATATTATTCATTTCAACGCATCACATATACGAGGGGGAGTCAAATGAAAACCATAATTATTTTTTTAAATATTATTTATTGGTCACACAGGGTACAGAAGTAAATCGCTTTTCAACATAGTCCCCTCCTCGTTCAATGCAAGTCCGCCAGCGCTTCGGAAGAGCCTGAATACCTGCAGAAAAAAAGTCTTTTGGACGCAACCACACGTGCACCACGTTGCGTACCTCTTCATCAGAGTGGAACTTCTTGCCGCCCATTGTTTCTTTGAGCGAACCAAACAGATGGAAATAGCTCGGTGCGAGATCTGGCAAGTAAGGGGGATGTGGGAGGTATTCAAATTTATGGTCTGTTATGGTCGCAACCGTTGCACGCGCCGTATGTAGCCGTGCATTGTTGTGTTACAGCAGCACACCGGCTGACAGTTTCGACATCGTTTCCGGTTGACATCGTTTCGTTTTGATGGCAAGCCGGAGATGATTTTTTAGGTCCGAGTACGTAGCACTCGTCACAGAAGTTCCTTGTGGCATGTAGTGTTCCAAGATGATGCCCTTTTCGTCCCAAAAGAGGGTCAGCATAACCTTCCCTGCAGACGGCTGTGTCCGAAACTTTTTGTGTTTCGGTGATGAGGAGTGGCGTCACTCCTTGCTCGCTCGCTTTGTTTCAGGCTGATGGTAAATGCACCCTGTTTCGTCACCAGCGACGATTCGTGACAGGAAGGCATTACCGTCACGTTCAGCACGCTACAAAAGGTCTTCGCACGCATCAACACGTCGCTTGTTTCAGTTCAGGCGTCAGTTTGTCCAGGGCATCCATCTTGCAGACACCTTATGAAACTGGAAAACATCATGCACAATATGATGTGCCAATCCATGACTCATGTGTACACATGCTGCAATTTCGTTTATTGTCACACGGCGGTTTTCCAAAACGATGGCTTCAACGGCTGAAATGGTCTCTGGAGTCACTACGCGCCGAGCCTGGCCGGGGCGTGAAGCATCGGCCACGGACGTAACACCATTTGCAAATTTCCGGCACCATTCATAGATTTGTGGCTGTGACAAACACGCATCTCCATACTGAACCTCCATTCACCTAAAAATGTCAATTGTTTTCACAATTTCACTTCGCAAAAACCGAAGCACAGAACGCTGCTCCTCGCTGGTGCATGTGGCTAGTGGAGTTGCCATTTTGTAACTGTTGTTGCGCCGGTTTTTGTGCATCTGCCGGCTGCTGCCACCTAGGAGACATCCGGCATACTATCGCAAACAGGCATGCCAACTTACAGCTCACTGGCGCCATATGCAGATTTTTATTTCTACTTTAATGGTTTTCAGTTGACTCCCCTACGTATGAGATTAAGTGGCATTATTAGGAAGTTCATAATAATTTTCATAATGTTTCATAATGCATTTTTCAGTTTTACATTAAAAGGAAAATACAGAATAAAGAAAGAAAAAATTAAAGCTGATATTACGCTGTTCTTTCATTTGTTAAAATAAATTACTTTCTATAAAAAAGTATCAAGTTGTATTAAATTTAATAATTTTTAAACTGTTCTGTTTAAAATTTATTATTTAGGAGAAACCGGCATTGGCAAGTCAACACTGATGGATTCCTTGTTCAATACCACTTTTGACTCCACGCCTAGTCCCCATAATCTGCCAGCTGTGAAATTGAAAGCTAAGACATATGGTATGTTGTTCTGTTCTGCAGCCAATTTTTGTGAAGTGTGGTTTGGTGTTTGGATGTGCTTTGTGTGTGTCTCAGTATCTTGAATCTCTTATATTTTAAAAAAGTGTATAAACCTAGCTTAATATAATAACACTTTTCTTTCTTGTCAAGATCTTCAAGAAAAGAATGTGAACCTGAAACTGACAATTGTCGATACAGTTGGTTATGGGGATCAAATAAACAAAGAAGACAGGTTAGTTTGAAACGTTACATCAATTTATTATTTTTTTGTATTTTTGATTTCTGTACTTAAATAATGCAGGAGACTTTCAAACACAAACAGGAATTTATCAGCTAAATTTCATTTATGAACTGTTATCAAATAACTTGCACACCATTAACTTAGAAGCCAAACTTAAAAGAAAAAATCAGTATTATATTTTCACAGGACTAGTTTTGAGGGTTTTACCAAACCATCACCCTCAGCTGCAAAAGTGTAAATGAACGAGGTAAGATATAATGATTAGATAAGAAAGCATGGACAGGAGATAAGCTACTGGCACCATCTGTTGATGAAAACCAGAACTAAAACATAATTACATTAAAGCCTTTTTCAGCCCTAATTTTAAGGACTTGAAAGTGCTATGGAGGAATAAGCAACTTATGTTCTTCCATCCTGCTTTACCATATTCACAGTGGTCATGGTTTCTCGGCATTTGGATATTCTTTCAGCCAAATACTATGCCTATAAGGATTTCTGAAGAGATACCAAATTCTTCATAACTTGCTTTCAAATTTTCTTTTTCTATTGGAAAGGTGGAAGACATGAAACAATCTTTGAAGTTTTAAAGACAAGCTGTGATTGGTTGATCAGGTGCGGGTCATTAGCAATTTTTAACAAATCACCGTTTTGCCAGTAGTCTATAGACTTCTAGCTATAACTTGATATTTCTACCTATAAGATTCTTCATGTCATTTCAATCAAGAAAGATGGCAGTAATTATAAGTTTTATTCTTTTCTTTGAGGTGTCACCTAATAGAGTGCAAATATGTCAAATAAAGTAATGCTACATTACAAATTGCACTAAGTTTTGTTTCAGTGTTTTAATTTCAGACAAGTTTTTCTTGGATTTTCGTAAGGAATCAAGATGTAATTTTATGACTTGAAATTTACCATTGAATTCTTTTAGAGGAAAAGGAATTACCCATAATGAAAGATATTTTTCAGTAGCCACTTGTAGTATTATTTCATGTTACATTACCAGCTTTTGTATTTGGTGACAACTGGAGTACGACTAGAAAAAGTAATAAAATTGTTAACTTTTATTACTTTTTTTTTTTGTCACAGCAGAATGGCAAGTTCTTTGTATACACATAATTTTATTGGAAGTTGGAGAGTAAACAGATTTTTAAAAAATAGATTTCTAATTAACAAATAAAGCCTGGAAGACACAATGTAGAATATTCTGAAGTTTTTAAATAATCTGTAAACAAATGTTTGTAAGAAGCAGAAAATAATTTTCATTTACTTTTTTTCTTTATTTTATTGCATTTTTATGGTATAAAAATTAAATGTTTTAGGGGAAAAAATTACTTTTTGTGATTTTTTTTTTTTTTTTTTTTTTTTTTTGTCCTGAAATTTCCCAAAACTGAAATTCATTCTACATCAGATCCTAAGCAGTGCACAATTTTGATTTTCCTCTGAAAATTTTTGTATTATTTTTAGTTATGAATTAATGTCCAAGTAACTTTTCATTTACTGAAAATAATTTAAGTGTTCTGAAACTAGTAATGATTTAAAAGTCTTTCACATATGTAATGGCATAAAATGTAAATAATTAATTTAGATGTAACTCACAATATTTTTATAAATGTTCACTTTGCATATTATTGCATTATCCTTTTAGTGGCAACAGTTTTCGTACTGGATTTCGTTTTGGAATCCAATGTTTTCTTTAAAGAGAAAATTAGTTTTATTACTAAAGTTAAAAAATAAAGGATTTGGTGTTAATATGGTAGTATTATTTGTAGTTCAATAAAATACCATTAAGATCTTTATCTGTATGCTATTACGCTGTCTCAGGTAAGAACCAACAACTTGTGACACACAGCATTCTACTTGTTTATTTAATACAACTGCGGAAAGCGAAACAGAAGCGACTACATGCATGAATTCCGAAGTGAATAAAGTGAGCATTAAAATCCCACAATTTTCGCAAGAAAAACTGGACATTACCAGGTGGAAGCTCATTCAAATAAAAACTCATAAAATCTGAAGAAACTAGATTGAGTTATTTGTTATCCCAGTTTGAACCCAAGTATGTTGAAAATATATGGGACATTATTTAAGACAGTTACACGAGCGCGTGCCCGTCTCCTGTTTTTTGAAGAAAAAACTGCTGCTCTTCAGGTAAAAGTGTTACATTTATGCCAAACTTTTATGATCAAACTTAAAAAATATGCAAACTATAAAAATTGAAATTTTAATTTCAATTTCTATAATATTCTTTATGAGATAAAATTTTTTAAAGGAAAAGGGAAAATGTTTTATATTAATATAGAATTTATTAGGAATTCATTATATTATTATTCAGGTTATTCAGGAATTATTATTCAGGTTTATCAGGGATATACTGCTTGAAAGAACATCTTCCTCGGAAGGCTTCAAGTTTTTCATTAATTGTTATGAACTCACCGACAGTGTAACATTTCTGGCAGTTATTCACAAAATCTTCAAAAAACTGTGTTATAGGTGCACGTTTATCTGATTCGTTCTTGACGACGCGAGTTCCTGTGTCATCAAAACGCAAACATCTTTATAAAGAAAGAAAACATTTGTAGGGCATAGTTTTGTGGAAAATTTCCAAGCTGGTTCCGTCTATTTTCAACAGATCCTGCACATTTACATGAGATGACTTATGTCACAAAAATATAAAAGACCTATAGAAGTGCGAATTTCAGTTAGATTTGTGGTATGAAGTTTGAAAGCTCTCAGAAATAGATGCAATATAAATATTTGTATAACTGACGACTTTCAGCAGCATTTGTTCACTTAGTAAAAGTTACCACGATTCATTCGGAGTCTACACATATTTGCCTTATTGATGTTTCCAGGAAATTTAGTAATAGTATTATGAGTAGGAGTTGTAAAATCAGCTTTAGACTTTCTTTTTACCATTGGGTTTTTTGTCTTTTCCAATAAAGCAATAAATGTCATTCTCATTTTCGTTTCCAGAATGCATCTCGATTTCTGAATCAGTGTCATGAGAACTAAAAAATTCATTATAACTTTCATCATCGGTTTCTTAAATGGAGTCTTCAACAGTTCATACATCAAATAATTTTTGCAAACGTAACATTTTTTCCTTATAGGATAAATTACGCGACCTGTTTGCAGTTTTCTGTGCTACCACAAATGAACTACCTTACAGCAATGCGAATAGGCTTGCTGGGTCTGAAAGACCTGATCCGATTAAAGCAAAACTTTGATTTAAATTTCCAGAAAAAAACTTCGGAAACATAAAGAGGATGGCCTTGAAGGAAACTACACTGAAATACAACCACTTGGGAAAAATAGGGGCATTTTCAGAAAGGTTGCTTTAATCGGGCAGGTCCATTGGACCCAGGGCGCGTGCTCGCAGGTTAAAGTTTCAAATAATTCTGATTCATAATAATGCATGTAAATATCAGCCAGAATGGAACTAAGAGGGCTTCCCATGACTAATCCCTCAGTTTGCTTGTAATACTTATTTTGGAAAACAAAATGCATTTGTTTCAAACAGAGTTAAGTAAAGGGAAATAGCTCATTAATTTCGATGCAAAAGAAATGAAGTTCACGAAGTCTGGTACTAGACATCTTAATGCACCCTCAACTGGAACACTGATGGATAATGATTTTACATTAAAAAAAACCATGAGTAAATTTCTCAAATGCTTTTAACTTTTTTTACAAACTCTATTGAATTTTTTATGGTGTAAATGTTATGATCTAATAGAGTTGAGAATCTAGAAATTAAATATTTAGCTAATGGGTATGAGACAGTGCCTAAATTTCATACATAGGGTAGAAAGGAATACTTCTTTTTATGAATTTTTGGAAAAGCATATAATCTGGTACAATTTGCAATAAATGGGACAAGTGACTGTTTTAAGTTGATTGAAGGGATTTGGGAAGATTTGATCACAGTTTTTATTTTTGAGAGGTTCAAAGGTAAAAAAATAGTTCAAAATAGTCGAGGGTTTTGAGGTTTGTGAGAAGTTAAAATTATATTTCAGAATTCTTTCTTCTGATAAACTAACACTAGAAATATTAACAATAGTCTTAATATTTACGATGGTAAGATTTTTTGAACTACTTAATTTGAAAGACTGTGGCACCATCTATTGATGAAATATGAAAGCTAAAACATAATTTCTTTAAAGGCTGAAGGTAAAGATGAATTGGAATTAGGGTGATTAACTAGAAAAGAAAGATTTTTCTGAATGTGAAAGGCCTCTAAAAAATCTAATTCACCAACGGAAGATGTTTTTATGGAAAAACAGGTACTTCAGTATATGTTAGAAAATATTATCTGTCTAAATCATAGTTGGCCAGTCCTCTTCACATAGTTCAAAAGAAAGATGTTCCTTTTCCACCATGCGAATATTATCGCCCGTTTGAATGCACAAACAATACCAAATCATTATCCCATATCCGATTAGAAAACAATTTTAAGAAATAAATTTTTTCTAATTATATAGAGTTCCAATACTTAAAATCGTGTTTTAAAAATGGTAAATACTTTGTTTGAGCAAGGATGTCAAACTCGCGGCCCACACAAATATTTTTGCGGCCCGGCCAATATATCGGCAAATAATAATATAATAATAAAATAACATATCGACGAAGAAAAAAATGAAATGTTTACTGCTAAGTAATTAACGATAATTTATTCAGTGTTGTTAGATTACTCACAGCGAGCTGACACACACACTACTTAAATTACAAATGCGTGTGAGTAGCTTGCGTTCAGCTACCTTCGGCTTTTGGGGGACACGTGCACTCAGAACTTGTACGCATCCCCCGATAGCCGAATGTGGCCGAACTCATGGTCTCAGTTTTCCAATCATAGTTTTGTACGATATATTGGTGCATGCATGTGCATGCACTTTGCTTTATTATTAATTATTACTTAATTCATATTGTTACGGATTTCATAGTTATTTATTTATTTAGTTTTTTTTTATTTAGAATTGTAATTAGATTTGCTTCAT